ATATGAAATTATAATATTTGAAAAAAATTTTATATATAAAATACACATTCTACTAAATTAGGAAGTAAAGATGAAACAATCTAAGAAAAAAAAAAGGAATGACATTCTGTAATTTTCTATAAGTTTTTGCTATAAAAAAAGTTATGTGAGTAAAATCAATTTGTCCATTCTGTTTGTCTGACATGGTGAGAGAAACAACGATAATCACGCAGTATACAATGAATATTCTTGACTAAGAAACACAATTAAAATATATAGTACATGGCTGGGGTAAACAAGCAAATATTTTGTTTGAATTTTACAATATTTTAATTAAAACTATATATATATTTTATCTTTCTTAAAGATGAAATACGATGTGTTTTGATATGTCATCATACAGAGGCTAGTTTCCATATTATCAGAAAGCGGAAACAGAAAGAGGAAACGGAAAAAAATACAAAATAGATTCCGTTCACCTTCAATTTCTGTTTATCTATTGGTCAAAACCCGACGGAAGATCAAACGGAAACTAAAACATTAAGATGTTTTCGAAGTTTCCGACCGGATTTTAGTAAACGGAAACTTCTAACTGGAAGTGACATTAGTTTTCCGTTTCCGTTTTCTGTTGCTGGTATATTTTCCAGCCTTAATACTCTTATAAGTATGAGAAAATATAGACGTAGGCCTACCGTTTTTTCGATTATACAGTATGGCCCAAAAGTGAGGTAACCAAAAAATATTAGTTTTTAAAAAATGACTTTAAAAATTTTTAAGTGACTTCATTGGAAAAGACAGCTATTTGACAAATTAGATAATCTAAAATCAAATTAAACAGAATTTAAAATTTTTAATTTGATTTTTATAATTACATAGCCTACATAGATGTTTTAAATACTTATTATAATTAATAAATAAATTATAGTAGATCCCGCGGTTTACGATGAAAGCAATATACATAACGTCTATAAGAGAAATCGTCGTAGATGCATGGTGTATTTCTATACATGTTCTCGTGGCTTCTGAAATTCCGAATAAGTTCCTTATTTTGTTGGCTATTTTTGTGTAATATTATATAAATAAAATTTTTGTTTATAGGAATATTTCTCAGTTTATAACACTATACAATAAAACGGCTCGTTTTACGACTTTTACTTTTTTACCAAAAAATAATTAAACCTTAAAAGCGAGCGAAGTTGTTGTTCATCACTATATAATATGCCACAGATGTTGTGCGTATATCTACTATAAATTAAATTAAATTAATAAATTAATAATAAATCTCAGTATATCCTCCCCTTTATGACAGCCGGTTTTACGATCCTCGTCTCTACTTTTTCGTATAAATTTCCTATTATATCTTTAAAAATTCCACATTAAAGTGCCTTATTTTATTGGTTACTTGTATGAAACGTTATACAGTTAAAAAAAACTGTTATTTTCGGGAAAGGAATTTCAATTTATAAGACCGAGAATAAGGAAAATATACGACGGTTCGCTTTACGACCGATTTCCAGAAACCAATTATATCATAAAAGCGAAATATCTGGTTATATTTATAACTAATTCACAAGTAAAGAAACTAATCTAAGCTTTAAAAAATGTAATAATTTTACTTACTTAATATATATTGATAGGCAAGTTCGGGATTATACATTTCATTAGTGGCATAAATAACAACATATTCACCATTTACGTGTAGTCGTTTTCTATTCATAGCCACCAAAAATCGATATGAAAATCTGATATCTCCGAGAAGAACATAAACTTAAAGAAAAAAATATATATAAATTTCAACAAATCAACTTATTACAGGGTGGCCCAAAACACAGTTAACCATTCGAAGCAAAATGAACTAGTCTCGGTTAACTGATTTTTGGGCACTCCACAGGTAACAAGATCGTTTGCGTGTGATTTAAAATCCCCAAAATATTAACTTTATATTAAGAAAAATACCTCTTGTAGTTTTAAAAGTCTCTTCAATGATGGTTAAAAATGGATTTTCAAAATAAGAGATGTTGTACTTCTTGGCATGTGTTATGGTAAAATTCTTTTCCTCTGCTTTACTTTGAAGGCTTTCGTACAGGTTATAATAATTATCGAAATCTTCATATAGAATTGCAAATTTAGACCAGCTGAAGTGCTTTAACAGGGCTATCACAGAATTTATTATCTAAATAAATATAAAATTAATTTATATAATTTTAAAAAATTATATTTAAAGATTATTTTTAATTTTTATAAAATTATTAATTTATTTCTTTTTTTGAAAAAAAAATTAGTTTTTACTAACTAATCCTACCCACTTTGGTGCTCGGAGGGAAAGTACTTGCAAATGAAGTATAATACAAACTGTTTTCGGGATTCGAGACAGAACATTTCTGAAAATATAAAATTTAATTAATTTTTTTATATTTTTTAAAATAATTTTAAATTAATAATAATTTTATAAACGTTAAAATGTTTGTTTACATTTTAAATGTTCGTCATTCTATTGTTTTGGTACTATAAGAAGTAATTTGTATAGAAAAGTTGACTTTTCCGCAGTGGCACTTTAGAAATTTGGCGCCCCCAGCCCCAGGATACGAAAGACCCCCAAAATAATGGCACTTTTGGTACCGAATGATTCCATTTTATAATTTTAAAAAAAGCTACAAAAATACAATTATTGCAGAATTAAATATAGAAAGGGCAAAGGTCACTGCTACTGAAAAACCCGTCATTTACAGTATACTACGTTCATGCAAAATATATTCATATATATAATCTAACTTCTTTATGAATTGTTTCTACATAAAATTATATTATTATTACTCTCCATTTTTGCGTCCCCAAACACTAGGATCTAGTGGACCAAATGGAAAATCCTATACTACCCGTCCGTGTGTCTGTGTGTTCGATAAATATTAGAAATTCTCTCGAGTTTTTACACAAAAAAATTTCAGCAAAATTCGAATGTTATATATAATATTTTAAATTTAATTATCAAATTTTTAGCACATTATTTTATAATTAAATTATAGAACAATTATCGATTACATTATTTTAAATTGTCGAATCTTTAAACGTTTGTAAAAATGTTAAGTACAATTAAAAATAATTTAATTAATACGTTAATAGAATAATTAAAATCTGTCGAATTAAAAGAATTACAATGTGTTTCGGTGATTAATTTTCTAATTGCCATAAATAAAATGAAAGAAATTTAAATTTATAAAAATATAAATACTAATTTTCCATTTTTTATAAGTCAATTTAATACATTTTCGCTTTAAAATTTATCTAATTTATTTTTAACGTCATCCAAAAATGTAATTTAGATTTGATATCTGTCTTATTGATTGTAAGTTATTGATTCCAGAAGGAATTTAAACAATATCCAACATGATTTTTCTCTTTAACGTGTTACAAATGTTTTTAATGTAACGTCTTTTAACGATGTCAAAACTCTCATAAAATATAAATAAGAATGGAAAACTCTATCAGATATTTTTTAAATTAGAGAAAGAATTTACAGTTGATAATAATTCGATAAAATTAAGTTATTGCAATTATCTCAGTGTTTCTTCATTCAACATGGAATTTGTATAACCGAGCCTGAATACGATCACTTTGGAAATTTAATCACACCGTTCTTCCTTTAATTTTAGAAGGATCTTTTCTTGTTCTAGGAAACTTTGTATCTTCTGCTATCATTGGCCAATAGGTCATACAATCAGGATCATGAGCAGTAATCACGTGAGCCGTGAGCCTGGGGCTAGGCCCTCCCCGGCCCTCTATCTTCTTCTGACGTAAAGCTCTTATTTTATCACATTGTTTTTCTCTCTTTATATACTTGAAATTAAATGAATTGAAGGAGTAGGTGGGAAATTGTATTAATTTAAAAAGAAAATTGTAATAAATATCATTAATATGCAAGTAAATGTATCTATTTATTTATTTAATAAAATATTAAAATTCAACTTATATTGTTTGTCATTTGTACCACTTTTCCACTGAATACACCAATTAGAATTTTAGATTTCATAATTTTATTACACATATTTCGGCTCTGGCTCCTGTATAGGCCAGAACTAAGGACTAAATCCGTATCTTCCTTCCCTCGTCGGTTCCTCACTCAGTGCCTTTCTGTTATTGAGTTATTGGCCTTTTAGAATAGACCTTCATGCAACTGTTGCCTCTCACTTTTCTCCTCCATCATCTATATACCCTTCCCCCTTTCCTCCTCTTGCTCAAAACCTTCACCAGGGACCGAGACACTCGAGTTGCACACGATCTATCTTGCAAAAAACCACATAAATTGCCTCATATTGTTTATCAGTTATATTCTCCAGACAATTAATTATCATTTGACAAATCTGATATATTAATACATATATATTTTTTCTTCTTTTTCAGTTATTTTCGGATCAGTTAACTCGAAACCAATATCAATTTTATATATATTTTTTTACAATATACAAGAGACTATTCCATTATATTGTTCAAGCAAGAGAAAGAGAGGAAGAGAGAGATGATAGATGGTTCCTATACAAAAACGCTTGTAACCATTGATATATTTTCTTCCAGATAATAAATTATAAAGTAAATCATATCATGACTTGCGAATAGTTGAAATTTTAAAGATAGATTTTTACAGTAAAGTTATTTTATTGAATTTTTAATACTTGACCATTCACTCAGAATCGTAGAGTATCACTCCATTATGTATATGTATGATAAATGTATTAAAACATTCCATTTCTACGAATTTACTACATTCCTTTTGTAAAATATCCCTTTCAAGTTACATGAAATGGAAAGTAAATCTGTTGTAAAACACAATTACAATTTTATATTGAATTAAAAAATATATTAAATTAAGAAAAAGAAACTCAGATGACTTTTTTTACAAAAATTAAAAATATCAATATTAAATAATGTGGAAACTTTAATAATTATTTTAAAAAATAATTTATACAGTTTATACAAATTAAGTAATCGAAATTTCTAAAATTAAATTTAAAAAATTAATCTAATTTTAGAGATTAAGACCATTATCATTGTAAAAAATTAAGGAAAACTTATTAATTTAAAAGCATTAATTCTTTAAATTACTTTATAAAGATTTTATAGTTGAAGAATAAATTATTATTAATTTTCTAACATTATTACATTAATAATAAGTCAATTTTTTTAACTAACCGTTTACAATGCAATTCACAAGTAATAGTTTTACAATGGATAAATTTTGCATTAATGGCTGGAATGAAACAATTAATTAATTAATTAAATTCATTTCGAATTAATAATTTTTCCTATTATTATGTATTTTTAAAGTTTCTTTTCTAATTAAATTTTTTCGCCTACACATTCCTGTATGCGAGTGTGTTTGTCCGGTATAGAAATTAAAAATAAACAGTATATTGGGCCGAGAAGGGGTAATGTTTCATGAGGAAGCTAACGGTGTGCTTTAAAATTATTAAAATGGCACTCCTATTCAGTTCTTGATTAACCAATTAGAAAACATATTACAAGTTTATTTGTTTTTTAAACCAGGGAAATGTCTGATTGTCTTCTAGTAAACAATTAATTAATACGAGTATACGACGTGTAATGTCTTACATTACATTTAAAAGGTTTAAAGTAGCGTAAATAATTTCTACAAGAAAGAAAGTTTTTGTCTGGGTAATGTGATAGAGGTTAATGCCTTTTATCAATTACAAGAATACATTCTTCTAATTGATTTCTGACGAAAAGTAATTAAACAATAGGCGTAACTTCTAAGATTAAATTACGTGTAATTTATTTGGTTACATCCCTAATTGTAACCACTCGTTTTTCAGTTTCAATCAAAGGAAAGGATCTGTGTTATCTATCAAGGATTCGTACATAATCTAAACAAGCTCGAACTTAGAGCTTCACGATTTTGAATTTATTACTGTTTGATAGAAGTGGAAGGTTCTTTAATAGGCTTTAACTTCACAGCAAATATATTAGTAGTCATACGTATACGCAGGGCAAAATATGGTGTTCATGGTGAAAAGAAAAAAATGTCACATAATTGAACATACATTCCTAATCGCAAATGAAAGATTCAGATAGTCGAATAGCCGTGTGCACGTGTACACATATATTTGTGCGGACAATTGTTATATAAAACGTAGCTTTACGACATGAACGTATTCAGGGAGGGTGCTTATGGTACTATATCATCCCATTGATACCAAAGGAATGAGTTTTGTTACTTTAAAATACAAATACAGTAGAGCGTCGTTTATCCGAATCAATTGGGGATTGGGATTATTCGGATAACTTATTTTTTCGGATAACCGATTATGTACGAAAAAATACATTAACCTATCCCGTGTTGAAATTTTTCTCCGTTGCGAATCGCTTCGCGTTGAATTTTCGTCGATGTTACGCCTAACGTAAACTTTTTAAAATAATAATCGTGGCTATTGTATCGTTAAAAATTATTTATTTATCTTTTACAAACAAAATAAGTATATTGACAAATATAAAAACAAAAAATATATACTTTAGAGGTTATCTAATATCAAAAACGTTCGATTCAGCATGACACACAGTCCTCAAAAAAACACCACACAAAAGTGACAGTGCTGCCAGCTAAAACACAAACATAAAAAATATTGGAGTAGCCCAAGATATAGCCAAGATATTGCAGCTCCACATCACTAGCGAAAATTTAAATTTGCCGACTGGAATTCTTTCGGATAACCGGTGTTTCGGATAACTGACTTTCGGATAAACGACGCTCTACTGTAAATACACGCGTATTTCATGATTTCAGAAAAATTTACACTGATATTCCTCGAAAACACATACTAAAGTGTGGAGCACAGGCTAAAGATGATTTCATATGAATTCAAAATAATTGCAATTTCGATTATTTATAGTAAAAAATTTTTTTTAAATGTGATGATTTTTATATCGTTTTCCTGATTTTGAAATCACTTCGAGTATAAATCATACTGTAATTTGTATAATTTATAATCAATCTATCAAATCAAAATTGTCAATTGTCCATTTTCTATCCTCCATTTAATAATTATAAAAAGCTAATGAAAAAAGAACGATCTAAAAAATTACGTAACTAAGCTAATTCTAAAGAAGTTAACAGGAGGCAGGGGGTGCCTTTGTACCCCCGAATCTGCCTTGACAGCACTCACATTCTCAAAATTCTGGATACGCCACTTCTTTATGGTTTAGAATATGGCGTATCCAGGACTTTGACAAAAAACGTGTTCATTTAATGGAAAAAGTACACCGTGAAGGTTATATGCGAACTACACATAGACAAAGAACCATATGTTTCACTTGGTCGGTTGAATGCGGAATAGTTCTCTTCAAAGAATAGTTTTCTTCAGTCAATTGTATA